ACTATAAGGATACATTATATAAGCATGAATTGTAAGAACATCGTTAGAGTCATCAGAGTCACCGCGTGCGCGCTTGATCGTCAGGTTAAGCAACAGTTTAATGCGGTCAGGACATGGATGAGTGGTGACCAGAGTGGTATACTACTGCTTGGGATCGAAATTTTCGCTGGAGGATTTCACGAAAGTTTGGAGTGTATTTGACAACCTTCGATACGTAGTAGTTTATGAAACATGAGAAAACTACGAATATTATAAGTATAGTTTTTTAAATATTATGATTTTCTCACAGTAATATCATTGTGATTTTCACCATTATATTACTGTGATGCATTTGCCGCGGACATTTTAATATTACTGTGATATCTTAGTAATATTCCAGCATTATTTCTGTTATATTCCCTGGTAATATTGCAATGAAAATATAATATTGCTGTGATATTTCTGCGATATTACGTGCTATATGGAATTGTTATTATCTTAGCAGGAGAGCAAATAAGTAAAAATTAAAAATTAAAACTTATCCCAATAAAGTAGATACTTTAATTATTTCTGTATATAGCATGCAGAAATACTTGTTACGCAAAAAAGCAAGGTAGTAGCCAATAAACTTTTATCTCTTATAAAAAATGATGTGTTGACTGACTACTGTATCGCTTCTTGTCGTATGCAAGAATTACATTATATATCTTAAATCTATAAAAAAACAGAATTACTTACGCAAGTGATCCACATCTCGCAAATATCTCGTCAGAACCGTCCGTACATTGGGATGTTCCATCACACACGTAAATATTTTGAATGCATTCTCCATTTTCACACGTAAATTCATCTGTTTTGCATTGCACAGGTCTTTCCGTTTGATTATTTATGCCTGTCGTACATTGAGGCAGCATTTCGTCACTATTGTCGATACAATTCTTGATGCCATTACAAACGGTGTCTCTGTTTACACATGCACCATATTTACACCGAAAGGCATAGTCGGGGCATAAAATCTCTGGTCTTGTACACTCGGTCATAGTTTCGTCGGACTGATCTTTGCAATCTGCTTTACCGTCGCATAATAATTCACCCGCTATACATTCTCCATTGTTACATTGAAACATCTCTAACCTATTTAAACAATAAAAAAATTTTATGTTTATTCAATTGATTTCAACAAATTATTTAGCGATAAGATGAAAATAATAAAATATACGAAAAATATAACTAAACGGAATAAATTTATTAAAAATAAAGAGGAAGTCAAATCGCTTAACAATTGATTCCTTATCATACAACACTGAAAAATATTACAAGAATATTGCATATATTTTATTACAATATAATATTATAATGTTTCATATACAATCAGGTAGATCAAAATGATTACTTTTAGGTAAATATCTATTTGTAGGAAAATTCAAACAACGCTTATTACACAGGTGTAGTTTAACGCATAATATAAAATATAATTGTAATGATTATATCCATACAACACAAAGTCTAAAATCGGGACATAAAACATCTTGAAGAAATGTCTTATATTTCCACATCTCCTTACTGAGAAAATTATACCGAGATTCCAATTGAGAACTCAATTAAAATCTCATGCAAAGATCTCACGCTGAGATCGCAAACTGAGAATTCGTATAAGATTTCCATAAGATTTCGCATGTAAGATCTGAATTGAAATATAAGTCCTGATGGAAATAATTTATTGAAAATATAATTAACCTTTGCTAAAATATTTTTGAAAAACCTTTTACAATTGACCCAATTTTATTAAAATTTCATTATAATTTCATTAATATTTCAGCAATATTTCACAAAAATTCAATGAAAAATCATTATTAATCAAAATAGATTAAGGAAAATATAATTAAATATGATTATATATTTAGTGTTTTCAATTGTTAAAGAAAGAACTCTTAAGATAATAATCATCAAGTAAAAAGGGCAAAATACAAGTTCAGGCATAGAAATAATAATGCAATAAAACCAAATAATGTTGGTGAACGTTCTCCACACAGTGTGAGAGAAAAAATTTAATTAAATTTAATTTAAAAAATTTAATTAATTTAATTAACAGAGATTGATCAATAGAGATCAATAGAGAATAAGAGATTATATAACACCAAACGTTTCGTGGATCCTCCTCAGCGGTAAAAAAAAAAACACCATACAAAAGTCAAAATACGATGTCGCAAAGTAACAAAACGTCAAAAACGTTCGCATAATGGCAACTGGAGGATACATAACTGATTCTTAATAGATTCAGAACTTCAATCCGAGATTAAGACCACTTAAGATAAAATATGGAAATGAAGTCCAAGCACAATCATCGTTACTCATAAATGCACTTCGTAAGGTACTGCGGTCGTGTTGTCTAAACCAAAGTGAATAAAGAGTAACGTATCCCCGTAGTAAAGGTAATGGTAAACCAAATTAATCGTTTGAAAGTTATAAGTTACCTTGGACATAGTATAGGAGCCGAATCTCAAGACAAGAACGTTATGGTACCACGTAGATCTCGAAGTGTCGTCAATGGTAAAGGCTGATTGTTTATATTAATGGTCGAGAAAATAAAAACGCGCAGCTAACAATGCGAGAAAATTTTTACATTTCATTTCGATTTATTTTGGTATCAATCTTTCTAAACGTCTAAAAACATTGAACAACTTACAATGAGACCGCACGTACCTGATGTTACGGATTCTGATCAATTATTCTACAACACTAATAGTAGTATATGTACAGCTATCGTGAGTCAGGACGTGGCCTATTTTTTGGTGGTGGGGATAAAACCTGGTGTTAGTGTGTTGAGGGGTGGGTTCCCTGAAGAAGGTTTTCTGGAGGTTTGTCCTCCAATGTGTCCCAAAATGGAATGGTGGGGAAGAAGGGTGAATTCTCCAGATGCGGTGAAGGGAATGCGATGAGGAATAAGAAACTATTAATATTAGAAGTGGGGAGGCAGCATGTTCCCCTCATTGTAAATCGGGTGGGGATTATTCAGGGTGATATAAGTATTTTTTTAAATTTATTTATATTACATCGTTTGCTACGGCATATAAACCTCGTTTCTTGCGGTATGTCCGTTCTCTGGAAGTTCTGAGTCTCGACTGATGAGCGAGTCGAGAAAGAGTAGGTAACGACGGATGAGCTAGAGGGAAGGGGTAGTCGTCGGATGCTTCTGTATAAGGGTGAGGGTAATCTATGCTATTAGTTCGTTTAGTGATCAGCTATGGATATTCACGAGGATTGGTTTTTAACGGGGGGTCCCTCTGCCTCGTCGCCTACGTCGAGAAATTAAGAATGTTGAGCGTGACCTAGAAAATTTTGGCGAAAAGGAGCCTACTAAACGTTAGACAATAGTGAGGAGCTAGCGGCAGGGGATAGTCGTCAAATGTACCCGTGTAAGGTTAAGGATAATCTATGTTATTGGTTCGTTTAGTGGTCAGCTGTCGTTTAATGGTTATTCACGGAGATTGGTTCTTTCCGCTCCTCGCATCATTGTTCACGTCAAGAAGTTGAGGAGACGTCACCGGAAAATTATAATGAAAAAATGCTTCTTGAAAGTTAGAAGAGCGAGATAGATGGAGAAGCGAGAGCAGGTCTGGACAGCTATGGTTATGCGATGTTTGGTTTTCGACTCCTTCTTTGATTCTTATGTTGAGACGCGGAGAGGGGTGAAGGATGGGAAAGAATATTATCCATGCAAGCGTCAGCATCGTGGGAATTTCTGGAGTTTATTGAAAAATATAGGTGTGGGTAAAGAAGGAGACGCTTTTGAGAAAAAGAAAAGAAATAAATATGTTAAAGGATAAAACCCGCTATTTATTTATAATTACATATGAAGATTCATAATATTATGAATTTTATATGAGTTGCAGTGCTTGCTTTTTTTTATTATTCTTCGTACAATTTCGTGGAGATGAAACGAAATTAACTCTAGAAAGAGAATGTCAAAATACACGTCCAGAAAATCGAAGTTCAGCTGCCACTGGACATTTTTTTTATCTCCTCGAGGTTATCCCAAAACGTGTTTTTCACCATGTCCTCATCTAAATAGCGGTTGGGCAAATTTAATTCCGTTTTTGCAATTAAAAATTCGACGCAATCGTTGACGAGATTCGTTAGCAAATATAAATGTTTTCGCCGCGCGTCGATGCATTCCGCGATACTTTGGAGATCTTCAAACGTGATTTCCTGCATCACTATCTACGGCAAGTAGGTCTTGCGTTTCTTCTTCGGTGGCGCTGTCACTGTCTCGGAATCCTTTGTCGCGGCCTTCTCTGCTGGTTCGCGATTACACGTTACCATTATTGCTTTTAGGACATAGGTGGTAATGAAATAATCACGTTCTTTAGGATCAAGGGATGTGGTGTAATTTTATTAACCCAGCACAAGTAAGAATTCACGAGGTCAAATTCCTCTTGAAACTTCTCTCATGCCTCGAGTTCGAGGTAGATATAATCGGCCGAATTTTCAATTAGTTTTATCGCCACTTCGTATCTCCCGGCGTCGTTTGCTCGCCGGTCCACTTGCACCCTCTTTGTATCCGAATTGTTCAAAGCGTATGTTGTAGACAGTAACATGTTTTCCTTTCGATTAAAATGTCGACCTCTTGTGAAGTCACTGCGCATGTTATTACATCCGCCCTTCTCGATATTCTGCTTTGTGTTATTAGCAGCCATTATATTTCTCACAACAGTCGCTCCTTGAATAAATCGTGAATAATTTTAATAAACGTCAACTTTTCGTAGCACTAAAACGTGACTAACGGAGCGCTACTGATTGTATGAAACCCGCGAACGATCAAGAGCGGTTTTATAGGGCCTCGACAGCATGAAAAATGTATGGAGGGGATAGTATACGCGTACCAATAATGTTTATTTAATAACATTTTTTAGTTACAGTTTTATAGAGCACTTTTCTAGTGTGTTTTTCTGGAATTTTCTAACGTCGATAACGGGGAACAAATATACAAGCCTTTAAGCGCGATAGTTTATCTAACAATAATATTTTATACCGAACACTTTTCGTTCTTTGAATGTTAGGTCACATTTACCTCTCAGACTTTTCTTTGTCCCGCAGCGTCTTTAAACGTGACAGTTTGCCGCGACTATCGATAATACTATATAGCGGACGCTTCTAATCCTGTCCTTTGTATGTCAGGCGCTCGCGTTTTTATCTCAGGCTTTCCCACGCGTCTGATTGTTTCGTCACGTTTCCGAATTCAGGTTTGAAGAAAATGTCCCTGAGCAGTAGGTATAGAGCAGGGGTTCTAACCCATGATCCTCCGAGGGGGGTGCGGGGGAGGGGAGCACGTAGGGCGCGGGGGTATGACGTCACGCGGGGAAGGGGGCTTACCAACGGTCGGTAATTTTTTACCGGTATATTTTTAACCGATATTTTTACCGGCATATTTATTTATTAACATAATTTTTACCGACATATTTTTTAACATAATTTTTACCGACGTAATTTTCTTTACCGACATAATTTATCATTTATTTTTACCAGCATATTTTTTATCGACATATTTATTAACATAATTTTTACCGGCATATTTCTTAATATAATTTTTACCGACATAATTGATCATTTTTATCGACCCTGCGATTCTCCCCTCTTCGCGTTTCGCTCGCGGTAGATTTTCGACGGCTTTTTTCCCTTTCCGACCCGCCTTTTAGGATATTCTCGAATATTTCAGAAAGTTCGAGACATTTTGAGAAGGGCAAATCTTTTCAGGTAGTAGAGTTTACCCTCCAAAACTATGCAGCCCCGATAAAAATTTATCTTTAAACATACACTATCGTATACTTTCGAGCTATCGTATACCTACGATATATCGGCGATATACCATAGAAGGAGGAGAGCATACTAGGTGGCGGCAGGACGCCGTGCGTTCGAGATTTGCGTATTTTTTCGTTCCAGAGAGAGAAAAATATCGAAAGCGCGGTTCTGCTAGGCCAGGACTCGAACCTGGGTCTTTCGCTTGCCGGGCGACTGCTCTAAACCACTGAGTTACCTGACGTTCCACGCTCACGACACTCTCCTCTTTCTAGATAACGCTCAGAGATGCCGTTCGGAAGCGACATCTCTGGCGCGATCCCGAGCGCACGACGACT